TGGGGCGGTTTTTCCTTGGCAGGTTTTGGGCTGGGGCAGACATGACTGGTTTTCTGTGCTATAGTCTCATGAACGTTTCGGGGAAGCGCTGGGTTGTCGTAGACCGACCGCCACCACCCCTAATTCCCCGAAGAATATGGTAAGCCATCTTCCTTTCGCAAGCAAGTATCAGAAAACAGTCGGTAAAAAATAAAAAAAACCTGAACAAGCGGCATAAAAACAAACCCATTTCATCCAATGCATTAGATGGAAGGGCCAGAAATTCAATTATGAGATTTTCGATGTTGCCGGTAGTCAGGCCCGGGGGCGCAATACAGAGAGCCCAACGGCAGTTGACTTCTCTAACCCGACGCTTCTGACGTTTAACTTAGGGACCCGCGGCGACATCGGTTACAACCAAGCCTTGATCACAAGGTCGATGATTTCCGAAAAGGATTCCTCCCACAAGTCCTTGCAAATTTCCAGCACCGATTGTCATGGTCACCGAAATCCATTCGAAACCAAGGTGGATAGAGAGGAGGGGCCAGCTGAGGGCGCAGGAGAGGCGAGAAGCGAAACTAGGAAGCTTGGGGTTGGGTTGATCCCAAAGCGTGGACCAAGCGACGGGAGAAAGACGAACGGGCGAAGCACCGCCATACTATCCGTAGCAGAACCCCCTCAGCCACCTTGCGCAATCGGGCAGTCAGATTCGAACCTTAGCGGTGACATGTACGAGTGCTATACTCGTACCGTACCTTAAGTTAAAGATCTGTGGTACACTTGTAACGGAAGCTCTACCCGGGTACCGGTAGTTACGGTGTAGTGCGGTGGTCTGGCATCGCATTCCCATCTTCACCCGTCCTCTAAGACCATTGCGTGACATTGTATCATAGAATTTCCAGGATCCTGAAGGAACCAAGGCACACTGCCGGTACGGTACAAGTACTGGTGAAACGCCAGAGAACCTCATCGCCTTTGAGGCACCACAATAACCTCCAAAGCCAGAAGAGCCCACACTCCCGGCCGTGACTCATTCCTGGATATATGATATATATACCATCAAATCCATTGTCCTTACCCGGCCAGAATGGAATGATTACATCCCTCAGCTCCCGATATTCGTCATTACTCGAGTAACTTAAACGACAATAACCATAATGCCTATTGTAGCGCTGCCTCACGTTGGACAGCCAACTAACTCATGATCGGGCAAACATTACTTGAAACCGAGCTCACTGACTTATCAGAGCCTTCTCGCCATGTTCAAACACGATATTAATAATAATCGGGGCAAAAACTTCCTCCGGAATGGGGGAGTAGGACAATTATCGTACGGTAGCCGGTACTACGGTGGGAGACTAGACTAGACTAGACTATCTAAACTATCATAAATCATACCCAACGCCGCCAAAGAAACGTTCCAAATCACCTTACAGGATCACACAGTACCGCCACAACGCAGCCCCAAGCATCAGAGAAACGGAATCCAAACCCCTTACGATACCAGAATCCGTCCTCGCCCAGGGCACTTTTTTTTTCTTCCCCCCAAAAAACCCCCCTCTATCACACCATTCATACCTTAAGGTACGCTCTCATGAGACGCAACCCCTCCAACGCAACTCCCCTCCAATCCACCCACCCAAGTACCGCCAAGCAGGCAGACAAACATTCCCAAAACCCAACCAGTCCCAAGCCAGGTCCAAGTCGTAATGCTATGATATGATACTAGGAAGCCCCGGGTGGTTGGAGAGGAAAATCTCATCCCAGGTACCACGGCCCCCACCCCAAGACGAACCCCCCCCCCACAACCAGACATGCACCGCATCCATGCACGCACAGTTACGGCCGAGAGAAAACGCGCCGTACGTATGATACAAGCATGCCCGATGACCCACACATAACCGGAGTCCTACCGACTCATAATGTCATCATATCTAATCCATCCATCCATCCATCCATCTGTGAAAGGCTTGATCACCTCAGCATCACATGCCGCTGCGGCAATGGGGGGGGGATATCTTGGAAGGGAGGAATGGAACGTTGGGGTTCCCGGGATTACCAGCTGACGGGGCCGGGATCGCGATGCACTAGTACAGTGCTATGCCCGTAGGAGTATGAGAACTTGTAGAATTGCGGCATGGGTATGATACGGTACCTTTGTATGCGATTCTGTGCTACCCGTATGCACAGAATGGGGACTACCGTAGTCAGTGTACTGCACAATACTCATACTGTTGGTAAGGTATCCCTGGGTGAAAAACTAGACCACTGCCAACCAAAACGCGGACACGCGTGGAGGGGGGGGGGGGGGTAACCGGGACACAAGGCAAAGTCCGGTCAAGGATAGAGAAGCGCGAGTCAAAGGCGGGCGCACAGTAATATACAGTGCAGCACCCCGCCATAGATATCGGTAGACGAGAAAGAAAAGAATAAAAATAAGAATAAGAATAAAATAAAGGCTCTCGATAGCGTAAGCTGCAGTAACCCCCTCCCACATTTGCCAGGAACAATACAGGAAACGATATCGCGCGTTCTACGGTACACTCCCCACCTCCCCCTCCCCCTCCCCCTCCCCCAACTCCAGGGTATCATACAAAACGCCTAGCGCAATCATATGACAAGTTGGTCTATAACCCACCCAGAAACCCTCTACTCGTATCATACCACCGTAACTTAACCTAATCGATCACCCCACCACCACCACCATCACCACCACCAACCCCCCAACGCCACACATCAACTCCCCAGCATCATCCCTCCCCCCCCCCCTCACCCATGCCAACCCACTGTATGCGCCACGCCACCCCGCCAGTAATCCCCGTACCATTCGTTATCATACATCCGCACCTCTTGTACCATAGCCGTGGCCCACCGTCGCAAATCCCCCTATGGCCCAACACCCCGGTATCCTCTCTTCTTAACACGAGCAGAATCTATTTCTCTCCGCCACACATTTTTACCGGGTTGGTAAAGCTTCGCAACCGCCGACACTGGGCGCTGACGTGCCCCCAGCACACACCCGTGTGCATATGAACCCCCACAAGCAGACATCGTCCGGTGTTTACTCGCGCTCTAGGCGTGTGCTTCGGAACGCTACCGTACGTGCAGTTCGTACTGTCTGCTAGGGGAAGCAGAACATGATTTCGGACCGGTATTATAGCCGCGTCAGTCTATTGTAGTTGTCTGGGCGGTTGGTCATAGGGAGTCACTCGGCCGTGATAGATGGGAAGAGTAAGCGCGCGGGGGGGCGGAGGAAACGCTACCGGAACGTGACAACCCGGCTGTCTGTGGCTAGGGTGGTCCTGCCCGTTCTCTTGGATCTTGCGTTTCTCTTGCCGTTCCCACACTGTGTGAGTGTACACTGGGTGACGTCTTGCTGAGGTGTGCTCCGCCTGGGCGTGCACCTCAGGATATGGGGGCCAGAGAGCTGAGCTGAGCCGGAAGTGGAAGGCATTACATTCTATGGGTTGGGCAGGTATTGAGCTATGTACAGTGGTTCTGGGGGTGAAGAAATGTCTAATATACAGGGTTGGGATGTGTGAGTGGGGGGGGTTGCAAGAGAAGGGGAAAGAAAGGAATCCCAATGCGAACGCTATAATCGCTATGACCTAGGGAAAGAGATGTACAAAGAAGTGAGACGAAGGTAAACCCGGTAGCTCATACAACAGCCCCGGCCCGGAGTTAGAAAAAAAAAGCCAATGGAGGGGTATAAATAAAGAGAACCCAAGATCGGCCAGGAAAAAGCATAAGCAGCCGATAAAATGACAAACGAAGGATAGGGTAAATAGGGAAAACTAGAAATTACTAGTGTGATGCACCGCCCCGCTCCCGAAAAAAAAAAATCCCTCCAAACCTAAAACTCCCGTTTAAAAATCCATAATATCCTGACATCAAAAGGAAAAAAAAAGGAAAAATTCCCAATTCGTTAATGGTGGCATGAATCTTTTTTTACAAACTTCATCTCTCAGGTCTAAAACTCTGGGGCGTCGAATTCCTCGACAGGTCTGTCGGGGTCCATTCCGCAGAATTCTGGGTGGAGGTGGAAGGTGACCCGTTGTATGCCCTATGGACAACTTGATACACTCTTGTGAACTCCTCTTCTGTAGTATCGTCCGGGGGTGGCTGGTACCGATTCGTCTCTGCCAACCCCGAGTTTGCCGACATTGGCCGAGGGGCCTCAGCTATGGGATAAACGGAGCGTGGCAATGTCATCGGGCTGCCCCCGGTTCTAGCCTCCTCCGGAAGCCGTGGCAATTGCGGCAGAGGCTTTCCCAGTAATCGGGTGAGGCCTGAGTGTTGTTGGCTCTGGGGCTGACGCCGGGCAGCGGGTAGCCGTCGATTCGTCGGCGGGAAGAGGTACAGTTGACTGTTGCTTCGGGAAGGGCCCGACGCGGGTGTTGCCGCAGCTGTATATTCTCTGCGTACAGGTTCTCTATGTGCCTCTGCCACTGCCGCCATCGCCCCAACTCCTCCTACCCCAGCGCTCATCTGAGAAACCCGAGCGGTGGGCCGGGTGTTGATGTCTGCCGGTGGAACCCTTGGTGGAGCAGGGTTGACTACTTGTAGGGGAGCAGTTATGGTCACTCGGTCGGCATCAAAGCCATCGATGCCGGTAAAGCTCATTATCGAACGGCGGTTTCGCCCCTGGCGCCGCCGGAGGATCAGGAAGATTGCCAACAGGGACATTAGAAAACCTAGTGGGCCAAGGACCGATGCCACTATCAAACCACTGTTTATTCGGCGTTGTTCTACCGGTCTAACGTTCGAAGGGGAAGGGAGTGCTGGGTTGAGTGGACCCGGGCCCCCGGGTGGTGATGTCGGTGGGCCAGCTTCTGTTGTTGTTGTTGTTGTTTGAGGGGTTGAGGTTGGTGGGGCCGTACTCGGATTCATGATTGATGTTGAGGTTGCGCATCTCGAAGAGGTTGAACTCGATGAGGGGGGGCAGGAAGGCCTGGAAGTTGAAGACGTGGAGCTCGATGAAGTCGAACTCGAGGGTGAGCTCGGAGCACTAGTTGGTCGAGTGGATGTGGAGGTACTTATAACATTGCTTGTTGTGGTGCTAGCAGAGGTGGGGCTAGACGTAGGGAAGGGAGGAAGGATGGTTGTACGGGATCTCGTCCTGCTGCTTCTTGTGGAAGTTGATATAGAGGGGCGGCATTCGTCCACCAAGATGGCGAAACCTGCCATCGCAACCGCAGTTGGGCAGGCCTGCAGGGCACACTCCCATATATCCGCCACCTCCAGCGCCGCCCTAAACCCCGAGCACACACAATTTGTCTCCAGACCGGGACATCTTGGAATTAAACACCACCGAAAACACCCGCTCGTTGTCAAAGATCCCAGCGTCTGTCCTCCAACCACCAAAGAATAATAACACAGCGCCAGTGTCGTAATCCATAAAGTCCCAAAGCGGCATTCGTATAATATCATTGTTGCCCCGATGACGGGGGAGGGAAGGAGGGGAAGTGATGTTAAAGAAAGGCACCTCACAGAGGGTTCATAAGAGAGTGTGATTGTTCGGACAAGAAAGAAGAGTAAGAAAGGAAAATAAGAGGCACAGCCGAGAGCCGTAGCAAGCTGATTTGTATATAGAGGGAGTGCGGTCGTTCGTTGCTTAGGTACCCAGATCTTCGGCATAAGACTCCTCCTCGCTTGCCAATCCGCATTGATAGCTCCGGCATAAGCCACCCTTGTCTATGGCGAAAACAATCATCATGCTGAGCCTCCTCCCACTCGTCTTTTTATTTTATTTTTCACCTCCCCCTCTGCCCACAACTCCTTTGCCTGGAGGGGACAATGGAAGGGCGGAGGAGGCGGTGGGTGTGGTGAGTGCGGTGGATGATGGGTGATGATGGGTGGCACTGAATGGGTGATGGCGGGTAGAAAGGCTGGAACGTCTTACACCCAGAGCAGAAAATAAGAGAGGAAAAAGAAAAGCAGAGACCGAGACCAAGACAGAGAGAGACCCTCGCGGCCCAAGTTAAAACCGTCAACAATACGGGCTTATTCCCCACTGGCTCGGGGAGCTGGACTCAGTTCTTGGGGCCGGAAAAAAAGAAAAAAAAGGGTAATTTCGATCTGACATCGGACAACCCCTGGAAGGGTTGGAGATTGGTGGTGGTGGTGGTGGTGGGGTTCTCCCAAAACCGGTAGATAAGCGCCCATCCAGTTCCTCCGGCTCAAACGCATTCAATCCCCCGAACGGTGCTGCACCCTGGACTGGCGTTGCACTAAAGAAACAAAGAAACAGAGGAGGAAGAAAAGCTCTCTTCGCCCCGCATGCGCTACCACCTCCCTCCGGGAGGGCGTGGGAGTCTCTGGCGATTTCCTGTGTCTTTCCTCCGCTTTCCCACTCCCCGTATATACCTCCAGGCGGAAGCAGGCACTTCCGGAAGAGCCTCGTGTCCGAACACCATGATGGTACCCACTGTACTGTGCATGCATGGTCCACCGGTACTGTACCTTGTATCATGACACCCGCTGTGTCAAAGGGAAAGAAAAAAGAGTGGCAATACAACCTCACCTGTTACCCTTAACGACCAACCTAAGGCCACCCCGATCCCTCCCCATCCTCGCATCCTCGCGTCCTCGAATGGAGAGGGGGAACGAAACTGCTGGGAAGACACCTCGTTTGGGGTACCGGTACGATATAAAATGCATACATATGATCCGCCGCAGGCTTGTGCACCCACTACTCCTTACTTCCCCCTTCAGCTCATTCGCCCCAGACCCGGCATCGAGCTTGCCAATCCGTAGAACATCGACCATCCGGCGAACAGATGGCGGCGAAACTCCAAACAATAAGGCTCCTCGCCCCAACCATAGGATCCGCACCCAAAATTCACATAGATTGACGAGAAAGGATGAACCAGTCAACTCATTCAAGCCGGACCCTCACATAGCATGCCAGTATCAATAAACAACATGACAGTTTACCCTTCTCCACCCCCCCAGCACGTTTTTATAATAATACCATCATACCACGGCGCGCGCGCAAATGCCGTTACGTGCACACGCAAAGATCCTTTCCGCTCCAAATTTCTCGGTAAAAAGGGCATGACATCGCAATATTACCCAGCGCAGCGCAGTCCAAACCCTCCACCCTGACAATCTATACTTGTATATATAATACAAGCTTAAACTAGCGTTCCCGCTCCCGCTTCCGATGGTAAAGGCTAACTGTAATAATAAACATTCAACCGTGTGATAACGGACATGTGTCGGGCGGAGCAAAGCGCTGCAAGTCAGAAACAGAAAAAGTCAAAAAAAAACTCGAGTATCCATCCACCTTACCGCCGAGCCATGCAGGTAAATTAGGTGCAAGAGGTGAATCCGCCATCCACCGATAGCCGAGGTATCGACGGAAAATAAAGCAGAAACGCCAATCAGAACGAGTACGAGTGCAGTACAGCACAGTAACCTAGAGGCGCTATCAGCCCAAGGTCCAGGTGGGAGGACCCCGTTAACCTTAGACGAGCACCCAGCACTTTCCACACTTTCCACACTTTCCATCCGATCCCGAAGCAAAGAGCAGCGGCGCAGCGCCGGTTACCATACCGCGCCACACTCCATCCCACCCCGCCAGGGCTCCACGCTCGGTCGTCCGAAAAGAAACGGTTTGCAGCCGATTCGCTGCGGATGCGAGGTTGGGGAGAGAAAAGGGCGTCTACACTCAACACCCCGCCCTGGGGGGCTTTGGTGTTTTGGGCACGAGAGGAGCCGCCCTGATCCCCACTCCTCGATTGCTCGATACCGGTATGATATGCGTGCGCGTATGGGAAAAAAACCCTTAATAATAACAAAAATAAAAACCATCTACCGCTTGAAAAGACAAGACGGGCCCGGCGAGCAAGTACCCTACAATATCATACTCGAGTGCAGTGCCGTGGATCGGCGAAAAACTCGTTTCCCTTAGATGCCATGGAAAAGCCATAATCCGACAATCATCTTCCGCCTGGAAAAATGCGGTTAGGGGAGTCAAGGCCCTAAGAATAGAGATGGTACGAGTATAATATACTGCCCAGCTGGCGGGCGGTTTATTCTCCCAGGAGTAACCCTCCGGTTCTCTATCCGCTAACAGAACGGTAAGGCCAATTCTCTAAAAAAAAACTCGAATTTGTCATTTATTCCCTACTCCGACCTCCCCTCTCACCGGTACCATATTCTGGACCTCCCCCCACCCCCAAAAAAAAAAGAATGTGAATTACGGAACCCGTGCGCAGCAACCCATCCGGAAAAATAGAAATCCCGAGGGCCAAGTCTGAAGATGTCATCCCTCCCCCGCCATCAACATCGCGGCGAGAAAAAAAAAAAAAAAGATTCTGGAATACGAAGAAGGTCCAAAAATAGGCTCGGTTAGCCCGGGCCGGAAAAAAAGTAAACAAGAGGAGGAAAATGGCTCCGGGGTTAAAAAAGGTCTATGCTCGTGATGTGGTGGTGACACTTGTAAAACGGGCTGCTTGCATATATCTAAAAAAAAAATTGGCCAGAGCCCCAGAATTTTGGTGGCATACCTGCCGGTTTTGCGAAGGTCAAGAGATTGCTGCGTGCTGCTAAGGATTTCGTGTCGTACCGCAGCGTAAGCCTCAGATAGAGACCGGTCCTGGAAATGGAGGGGGGGGAACGGCGCATAGAAGCCAACCTCATTACCAAGAATAATAATTAACTATGAGGGTGGATGGACACAGCACCTGTACCCCGGCCCGCTGTACGATACAATCTATTCAGCCCATCACTCCCCGGCCGCGGGATTCTGTACGGTAGGACGGTGAATTCCGGTCAGCCGTTTAACACGAGCTTAATTCCACCTTTACCTTCACTGCTGCTGCTGAAGAATCTGCTTTCGGGAGTTAAAGTGGTTGTATGATAGCCATCTGAACATCTCAACCCTATTGTTGCGTGCGCCGCGCCACCTGCCTTGTCAATGCGGGACGCTTGGATTGCCATCATCAGCCGTCGCGGGAGTCAATTCCTAAACACCTTTGCTAGAACCCTATCAGCGTCGACATTCTCAACCACTTGGTGGAGGGTAACGCGAGATGGTTCAGATCGGAGAGTGAGGTATGGTGCCGGTAGGTGCATCCAAAAGAAATTACAACCACCTCACTTGATCATGATAAGTGACTCGAGGACGAGATTTCAAGACTTCTTTCCAAGGGGTATTCTACTGTATCACAGGTAAATAGATCAGACCATACCCACCCCACGTAGCAAGATCCGAAAGGGGGTCAATAATCTCAAGGGTCTCGAGCGAGCGTCATAACTCTGGAGAAATCTAGAGTCTGATCATCCGTGATCAAAGATCGCCGCAGTGATCGCCATCATGCTAGCTCCTCATACGCCATCCACCTTCATAATCCACTTCCGACCCTCAACGTCCCAGATTTTTCCTACAAACAAGCATACTCCTTCCCACTCCGCCCCTCCCGCCCCCGCCCCCATTCCTGGCTGTAAACCACGTCTCCGCTAATCCTAGATCTCCCGTTGTCAAAACATCAAGAAGAACAGAAAGAAAGAAAGGGAGAAAAAAAGAGGCGGACGGGTAGGGGAATAAGACAAGTTCAAGGTTCTCGTCAACCATTTCTAGAAGCTCGAGAATGCGGGGAGGAGGTGGGTGTCGTCTTTTTGTCTCGGAACTCTTTTTGGCGTCCTATTACGGAGTCCGGTATCCGTACCCTAGCTCACACGTTTTGCCTCTGGCATTGATTACCCTTCTCGAGAGATTGCTATGTATCATAGCAGCACTACATGGAAAAATTCAGACTTTGAGACGCTTCGTGCAATTCCCAGTGTATCACATCTTTCTTTCACTAGCGCCTGTGTCGACTAGTCTCGCTGGGCTAAGATTCGCAAGGCATGTAGGAGTGCTCTACAGTAGCTACAAGTATTGCATCCGACTTTACCCGACGTATGTGTAGTGCCAAAGCCTACTCTACAAGGTACTGCACATCTTGACACAGCTTCATAATCACCGACACAATCACCCAACAGAAGGGGGCAGGTCAACCCCCAAATTCTGGCCTCTTCACTCCTAGTCGTCACCCAGATTCACTAAACTCCCGTCTTGCTTCCTTTCTTCATCCTACTTTAGCACTCATTTTATCTGAAGGGCCGCCGAATTATGGGCATCTCCGCGACGCAAAACTTTCTCCAAGTGTGATCTAGCAAGGACCAAGGCTAGTCACTTTCCTCCCCCCACCTCCCTCCACCCCTAACTCGGCCGCGAGGGAGTTCGGCAGTGACACCGAGTCAACTGGTCAAGTCTTTACAGGTCAAAGAAAAAAAATAGGGAAAACATGTCCAGATTTGCACGGGAGAAATTCCAGTTATATTATGCGGTACGGTGGATGGTTTGGAAAGGCGAGCTGGGGGCAAAGAAAATGTTTCGTTCGCAGACACTCCTGAGGAGATGCAACCAAAAACGACCAAGAAAGTGACTACGGCAACGAAACCCCTCACCTCTCAAAATACCTTGGAGTTTAGGAAACAAGTTCCTGTGTGACTAAGACGCTGCAGACAAGCCTATAGCTTCAGATTTTAGATAAATTCTCTTCTAGCGTTGATATCTCTGGCTTCAGACATACTGGGGGCATCCATACTATCATTCCCAGGAGCACACATACCCTGTACCAGAGAAACGCCGCACTTGAGACTCATCCTTGTCAGCCTCGATAAGCATAGAAACCAAGAAACTTGGGGTTTGTTATCTCAACCCCGATCCTACTAGATACCAGATGGTTACAGAAGTCTTTGGCATCAGCTACCGCCTGGCGCTCCATCATTACTATGGCTTGCTCAAGACTACCTTGTCCTGTGGTATCCGTACCGGTGCCCACCTAACAGCTCTATGATACACGCACAGCGAGGAGAATCCAACCCCCCGGTAAGTAAACTCAGTTCAGTTCCACTCAATTTCTTTGAAAACCCACACTAAACCAGCAAGGCATAGCAACCCGTTGTCGCTGGAGGGTCTTGTCTTGGATTATCTATTAGAGAGCCTCGCCATGTTGATTCGGAGCGGCCCAAACTGGAGATTCGTTGCTCATAGACCCCGAACTAGAAGAATGGACTACAGCGCTAGAAACTCTGGAAGCGGTTTGGAGGATAGTTTGGTAGCTCAAAAATACTCACCACTCGAACAGTGTCAGGCTCCATAGAGCAAAAAGGGTGCGATCACTAGCGGGGAGGATTTTTCTGGCCAACATCATCCCGCACTTTGGAACTCCAACCAACAGCCCCACCTTTCTCATGGCGGCATTAGCCTCTAGCGCACGAATCCTGTCAAGTCACCAGCGAAATTACCGGTACATCGTGAACCGAGAAGTCCCACAGCGTACCAGGATGAACCCTTTGAACCGTAGCTCATATCCCAGATCTGAGCAGGTCCGGTGAGCCCCCTACCCACATGCTCACCGCTTCGTCGGCTCGAATCCGGCTTAGCGAGAGAGAAGAAAAAAAAATCAGAGCAAGGGAGATAGCAGCCCCCTCTTGTATATCCCGGACGGCAAAGCCCTCCACAAGTAGATAATAGTAAGTACCATCCGTATCCATTCCACAATAGAGGATTCCGGGCGGATGTGAACCCGAAACCGGTGGACGAAGGACCCCACTCGTATCCGACCGACTCCTACAGCTCACCTTGCGATACCCATCCCACATTCAATTTATTAACCCGGCCCGCCCACCCCTGCTCATTCGCTCGTCCCCCCGAAACACAAAAGGGAAATCTGCCACCGAGTGATGATCCATGATCACAAAATCAGGAATTAGATCCACTCAGTAGAGGTGGAAACAGACTCATGCAGGTGGACCTCCGCACCATCCCCAAAAGAACAGGCAAAAAAAAAAACGGAGGAAGCAAAATACATCATACAGTACGACATCTTAAAAGTGCAGTCCAACACGGTACAGATCAGCCAGGGAATGGGCGCTCGGGAAAGGGGCGAGAGAGTATGATAGGGTTCAAATGTTTCAAGATTAGTCAGATAGGGAACGCCAATAAGGGGCCTGGTTCACGTGCTAAACCGCAACTTTGTCTTAGCTTGTTAGAGCGCTTGCAAGCGCATTGCACTGCATAAGGTACTGGACATTCCTTCAATTACAGTACACGAGTGGGTCCTCTCCCCTTCTTCCCTTCCTTCCATCTCTTCCCCCTTTCCCCTTTCCTTTTTTCCTCCCCGCAAGGCCACTGTACGACACCCGAGACCTGATCGAAATAAATAAAAAAAGTCGAATCGCAGTGCAGCGCAGTGCCGTCAAGGTGCGGATTGATTAGTCCGCATCGACCCACCTCAGCACTCTATTGTGCAGCGCGACAAAGTGTCATCCATCACCCTTGTGCGTATATACCGGTAGTACCGGTATCACAGGTGGGGGTATGATATGATATGATACAAAGTGACCGCTACGATCGGGCCGTTTCACGTCCCGAAAAATACCCGTGAGGGGGCCTTGATGTATAAACTCGGCGGCTTTCCAGAAAACGATCAAATAACTAAATAAATATTACCATCATGATTACCGTGGACGCACGCTCATGCATGGCTTAGGATACAAATCCCTCTGTTCCTACTGTGCTCCTGCCCAATGCCTTTTATTTTCATACGGTCGCACCTCGCTATCCCGCACCACTGAAATTTGAAGAAAAAAAACTATCCGGTTGGACGAGTGGGTGATCCGGGACAATGGGTCAAGCTTTGGTGAGATTTTTTTTCTTCTTTCTTTCTTTCGGATTCGCGGAATTTCGTACGGGGTAGAGGGGTATTCATATTATCGAGTTACGGGATGGCGAGGTTTCGCTGTAGTGATGCGCACTGTCAACGTTGCGGTCCTTAGCATCGATATTCGCTGCCATACCGTACTGTACCGTACTGTACTAGTACTACCAGTATACTATACCATACCAGTAACGCCGGTGCTCTCGGTGGTCCAGTCCTTGGACCGGTCGGCGACACCACGGTTTAGGACTGAGTGGACGGACCAGAGTCGGACGACGCCAGCGCTGAATTTTCCTTTCCGGGTATCATATCACAACTAAATAATACAGTCGCACCTCGCTGTCCCGGATGGCCAAAATCCAAAAGAACCTGTCCGGGACAGCGGATAATAGCGGATTATCACTCTATTACTGCAAATTTTTAATCCATTCATTTACATGCATTCATCCTACCTTTATTCCGTTTTAACATGCTATGATAATACTCGCACAAGTGCCTGGACAAGACAGGGATTATTTTGCGAGTTAACCTGGATTAACCGTCCACGGCGTTCAGAGACGAGACATGTCTCGTCCATTGCCGTGCTCATCCCGTCTTGAACTTCAATTAAACTCACTGTGGCTAATCAGCCCAGCGAGCTTGGACGAATGGGAGGGCTTGTCCGCGGTATTTACCGTGCCGGTATGGTACAATCGATATCATACTCGTGCCGGGAATCTATGATAATTCATGGTGGCTCAATCGTGCCGGAGCGCTGCTTTCGTCCGAGTGTCTTGCATTGGAGGGTGTCCATTGCGGCGGGCTTGAATCTAGATCGTGGATAATTCCCACGGTCCGCTTTGGAGAGAGTACGGTACTCGTATGATACTTGGGGGTGGTGCGGCTGCTGTGTTGGCCTCGATGCTACGATTCCGAGAACGCCTGGACGCAAAAAGAGGATAAGAAAATTGTTCAATGCAATTGCTGTACGGTAGTCTCCATTCTCGGCGAATATGTCTTCCGGAAATTTAGGTTAAAAAGACAAACAAGAAACACTTGCCTAGTGCAATACCGGCAAGCAGAGTTTCTGCTCGAGTGCCGGGTTTTACGAAAATGTGCAGGAACTTGGAATTTGTCCATACTGTCGACAAACCACTATACTAGTGCTGTACTCGTATCATACTGCACGGGCAATGTGCCTTATCGACTGCTCAAATTCGACCTGCCGCTAAGAACTTGCCTCCAATGGGCGTAGAATCTTATATGCGCTGGTATGGCGATACCGGCACACCCACGCAGACCTTGCAGTGAGTGCTTTGGCATTGCTCTCTACCCCGCATGCTAAACCCTTCACGGGGTAGCGTTTGGCAGCGGCTGGTCGAATTCGTGCAGTCCATGCGGCATCATTCAAGCACTAGTAGGTTTGGCTGATCGGAACATACCGGTAACTTTTTCTATCGTGGCCAGAGGCGCGCTATGGCTGAGGAGCTAATGGTACTGTACCTGGTACTCGTACAAGACGGTGGGCCAGAGCGTAGAGCAGGGAGATGAGGAAAGAGAAAGGAAATAGCCGGGAACTACAGTTAAGCGAATACTGCTCGAGTTTTCGAGGAGGGGTATCATACTACCGGTATCCCGGTGGGATCTCCGGTGTGCTGTGGGGTGCCGTTCTACACCGCATATTTTGGCAAAGTCCATTATTTACCACCTCATTCTCCTGTTCGGCTCGTACCGGCACGAAGTTGTGCTACACTGTGTACCCTGTGTACCGTAAAATCTCGTGAAATCCACTACTCGAGTATCTCCAGCCGCCCGTCAACCCACTATAGGTTTAGATCTACAGGTTAATAGAGTTGCGAATACCGGTTAGCGAGATCCAACACACCTATCCGGCCGATCTTTTACTCTATCAGGAAAACTCTAAGTTAATCCTTCTAGGGGGGGGGGAGCTACCGGAGATTGTGGATTTCACGAGATTTTACTGTATACACCGCGGCGGACCTGCACGCCTGTAGTTCTAGGATTGGTCTGCGGTGGGGACGATTGCTGGAGATAGTAGTATCATGGTATAGGTATTCACCTGCGTGTACGTGTACAAGTACCGCACAGTCTCATGATCATTAGAGGGAATCTTCTAATTATACAATCGTTCTCTGTTTTCTTAAATTGTACCTTATCTCACCCTAGCTCCAGAAAATACTTTCCCCTTTCAAATATCAGTGACTATCATTTTTAGGATACTCGCCGACACCCTCTTTAAAGTTTTTTTTCCATTCCAACTGTCCCAGCTGTTTCGAGGACCGCCTCGTAATATAGAGTTTAATGGTAGCGGTATAGCACACCTGCAGTGTGGTATCGTGGGCATTCGCGCTTCGGATGAGAGCGCGGGTTAGGGCATGCAAAAGGTGCAAAACCCGGGCGGGAAAAGTGCTGTAGGTAGATAATTAGGGGGGGAAAAACAAGAGGTTGTTATTATTGGAAAAACACGGCACTTGAAAGGAGGTGGTAATAAGCTCTCTCCCTCTTCGTCCTGCGGGGGCGAGTCAGGGTTAGCGCTTAGCATCCTTCTTTCTTTCTGCGAGTAGTTTTCGCGGGCGGAAGAGGGCGGTCGCGATGTTTTTTTCCTGCAAGTATCGTGTCAGTGCTGTGTAGAGATCCGTCCGTGAAGTAAATAAATTTACGGCACCAAAACCGCTCGGGGAAATAGGAAGCCGGTGGTCAGGGGAGACTGGAGTGTACAAGTACAGTACTGTACCTGTCCTTACAATACCATAGGGTAAGTCACAGCACGGTTTTCTCATGCCCAGGAAATAAATGTTGGCTTGCAAGAGACTCTGGTTCTTTGTGCGACAGGCTGTATACCCGGCCCGGGTACTGCGTTACGAGTAGGGGGTTGACAGAAGCCACGTTCACTCTCCTTACAAGGTTTCAGATACTCGAGCACATGTGCAGACCGAACCAGATTAGGAAGTTAGCATAGCAACTTGTAACGGAATTTTAGACTTAGCACCTCAATATATTTATTGTGCAAGTGCCAGGGGAGATGTTATTGTACACTGTAAATGCTTAACAGGATGTTTAACTTGAAGGCAACAAATTTGTATACTGGAAAACTACATGATTATAACAAATACTAGTAAATAAATAAAAGAGCAAATCATAATGACTAGTATTATGTGTAAATTTGACCTAATTATAATTTAGAATAAAAAAAAGTATGAGTAGTAAGTATAAAGACAAAAGAAAAAAATAGTTTAAAAAAAATAGTTTAAGATGTAATTTATGTAGGTGCTGGGTTAGCTGAGCATCTTTAAGAGATAGAATATTAGTAGAGGATAACTTGTATTGTAGAAGACACTGTTTAATCTCTGCTACATATTTTCAATTAGACTGCAATTTAGTAAGGGTTGGAGTTAATTTGAATAAAGGTAGTATATAGTGAGAAAATTAATAGTTTTAACTTACTGTAGACACATACAACAAAGTTATTACCAAAAATGCTACTGCTAAAAGCTTAAAAAAAATAAAGTAATATGAGCAGTAAAGAAGTTGATAGTTACTGTTTTCCTGCAATTATCTTTATCTGAGAAAAATAGAAGTCCTTTATTTTTTGTTTAAAACATAATTATATTATAATTATTTTCAATTTATTAAACTTTGAAACCAAGTATTATAGTATAGAAGTTCAAGTTCATAGTACCTCTAGCCCCTTTAAGTATAGTATTTTTAAAGGTAAATACTTTTTTTATTTATTATTGCTGTGATAGATACTAGAAGGCACTGTATGGAGTATTGATAAATTTAGTATAAAAAGTACAGAAGAGCACATTATTGGTCCAGTGTTTTTTGTTTTTTTTGCCAGTAATTTCCACGATCTAATTTTTTCTCACTGTTCCACTCATTTAATATAGTAGCAGTTAAGTGCACGGACTTTGTCTCACCATGAATTATTCACCGAGACTTTTGCCTTTCACCCAAGTACTAGTACTGTACCGTATCACTTGTAACCCGTTCGATTCGCCATTTCCATTCTATTCCTAATCTCCATCTTCACAGACAAAAAGGCCTTGAAGGATGAGTCGTCTCCTGACCTGGTGTAGCCCAAGTTACTTGGCGTGTTGGATCATGTAAACTGTCCTCTGCTATTCAGTTTACCGACAAGGCCGAACCTATCTTGGAATGGTGTCACAGTTTACAAGGATACCGGTATTCGTGATATGTCGGAGATAGCGAATCGAACGAGGTAATAAATTTACGGTATCACACTGTACTCGAGTACAGTACTCAGTACCGTACTCGTACAAGCAGAGTACTCGTGCTGTACGACACGAAGCAAGGTGTGTGCAATTTCTTGGCGCAGGGGGCCGATCTTCTATTTTAGGAACTGGATCGTGGACCTTGCAGTTCCCGATAGGGGATAGAGCGAGGGGGATGTGAAGTGCAAATCTGCGAGTAGTGTGGCAGAGCACTGTCTGCGGGGTCGGAAGGGGAGGAGGGGAAAATACTGGTGGAAGCAGACTGGCTCTCCGGGTCTGGAGAGCTGTTGGAGGCCGGACTCGATCCGACTGGAGAGGACCGGACTGGATAATATCAATTGAATTCGTGGGATGAGGAGGATGAGAATTTTCACTTTTGCGCAGGACACGGGTACAGTATGGTATCGCCTTTTGTGGGTAAACTGGGCAATTCGAGCGCCGGTCGGGCCTTGCTTCTGGAGAATCTTGGTTCGGAAGCTTGTCCAATGATACTCGAGTATTAGGGTGGCAGATGTGCCTTCGCACCGATGGTGTCCAGTGAGCTGGGAAATTTGCCAATTTCTTCCGTAGTCCCATACAGTACTAGTAGTTGGACCGATCGGGTGTTGTCTCGGGCTAAGGTCCCTGGTTCCTGTCTGCTGTCAAAGCTTGAGCTGTTGTTCTGTCACACTACACTACTTTTTGGGCTTAGCGGGAAATGGACTCCGCCTCAACACCAAAGATTTGTTTGTAGCACAGCGGGACTTTTGTCACCGCAACGGGAGGTGTTCGTGACCTATCGCGATCATCAGGATCGTGTACTCGAGTAGGTACAGTGCCGGTATTCGTGCAGCACAGTGATGGAGATTATGGTTGACTGAATGGAGAGGAGGGAGAGAAAGGTCCGAGGGGCGAGAAAGCGAGCAGGGGGTGCCGAGCCTCCTCCAGAACGTGAAGGAGGTTCAAAGACATTTGATAGCGGTAATAGCCCCCAAGATTTTACTCCTTTCCACCCCAGCAACCCGCCCCGTAGCACAGCGCTCCTGGAAAGGCACTAGCCCTTCAAGCCACCTGTGCTCCCGATCCTAAAACTGGACCCGAAAACCCACAAACCAAGCGAGGTTCATGTCTCAATTGTCCGATTGCACCATTCCGGGAGTCGAGGTGACTTCGTGGCTGGGGGCTGTGGTGGAGAGAGTCAGTCTTCGATCATTGTTGGCGCCTTTTTTTTCTCGTGGAACTGCGGCTGAGATGTAACTTGGCTTTGACTGGGAACACTGGCTCCCGTTGTTTTCGCTTCAAAAGGCCTTCATGTCCCCTTGGCCTTCTCCGCCCATCCTCTTGTTCCTCTCCCGCCTTTTCTCGCTTTGGTTTTTTGCTGTCGTGCGTTTTGTTGGGAGGTTGGCTTTTCTATTCTATTCCTGGGCTCTTTTTCTCTTTTTGGTTACGGGACGACTGTTCTACGAACGATACGATACCATACAATACTACGGAAGGAGTAGGCGCAAGGTTTGGAGAAGGAAAGCGAGAGTGAGAGAGTGAGAGGGAGGGAGAGACAAGAAGGAGAACGGATAGGCGGGGGAGGACCTAGAAACCAGCAACCATGGCATTGCGATATCTGACCACGTTTTCCGCCCTCCTTACAACCATTCTAGCAAAAGAGACCGTCGACCCGAGTCCACTGAAGGACCCGAGACTCCTGCTCACACCGGGTCTCCTCCCCGCGAGGCCTCTGCTCGGGCAGGGCAACGACCCATTCGGACCATTGCTCTTTGGCGTGACCGGGCGACTCCTTAGGCACGCTAATCTCGAGAACCGTGTCTGCGGGGGATCGGCCCTTCACTCGGCCTGTTCGGGTGATGCGGCGAAATGCTGCCCAACTGGCGGGGATTGCTGCGGCGATGGAACCTGCTGCGAGTATGGACATGTTTGTCAGAAAAATCATCTGGAGAGGACGGTTTGTTGTCCGAAGGGTCAGGATTGTTCCCTGGTGTTGCCGATTGTGAGTTACTCCTTTTTCTTGGTCAATCTTGAAAAGGGGGCACTGTGTTGATTGCTCTTCAGAACCCATGTGCGATTGCGACCCATACCAAGTGTGCGGGCTTCGATGCTTGCTGCCCGCCGAATAAGACCTGTCGGCTCGCTGGTAGTGATATAACTTGTGTTGACCTGGTAAGCTTAAAGAGCTTTTTTTTTGTTTTTTATTTTGCAATGATCGGGTTCCCCGTTTTTCTTTATCCCTTTTCAGCCAGCCACTAACGTCCCCGACAGCCCGGTGGTGGAGGCGGCAATGTACTTGCAAGACGTGCGGAAAGTTCTGCTGCGATGGTAACTGGCGGCTCGGGATCAGTGCCGACGTCTTCCCCTCCGTCGAGCTCCGCTCTCCAGAGCTCCTCTGGCGGCGGCTCCCCCCCAAGTAGTACCCCCCTTCAACAGTCTTCGTCTGGCGGGACTCCCCTCCAACCGTCTTCATCTAGCAAGGCTCCCCCCCTTCAACCGTCTTCATCCAGCAAGGCCCCCCCCCTTCAACCGTCTTCATCCAGCAAGGCCCCCCCCCTTCAACCGTCATCTAGCAAGGCTCCCCCCTCCGTCACTGCCCAGCCACCCTCCATCACTGCCCAACCACCCTCTGCTACCACCCGACCGCCTTCGGCCACCGTTCAGCCACCCTCAGCCACCAATCGGCCACCTTCAAACACCGCTGGAGGGTCACCTTCGATCACCAATAGACCACCCTCAACCACCAATCGGCCGCCTTCAACCAATCGGCCACCATCACTCTCCGGGCAATCGATAGTAATTACAACCAGATCCGGAAAAACGGTAACACTAGGTAACACTCCGCCTTCTCCTAACACTCCGCCTTCCCCTAACACTATCACCGAAACCCAAACCCCCACCCCTGACCGAGACTCCTCGGGCTTCGTACAAACCATCTCACAAACGCGCGGTAAAGATGCAAGTGCGGCCACCCGCGACGGCACTGCAACTACTAAAGCCTCGACAGTCGCTATTGCCGGGGGCAGTACGAGCGGGAGCCGGCGAACCGCTTCAACCTCCACTGTCGAAACCTCCACAATGACCTCGGCCATTATCTCCGATGGCACAACCAGCTTTGTCGAAATCCCCGTTGTCACCACCCGAGCCGTTGGTCCGGATTTTGCTGGGGCTGAGTCCACCGGCACCGGCAGTGGTGGTGGCAGTGGTGGCAGTGGTGGCAAGAGCGGCCCCGGTGCAGCGGTCATAGCGGGCGCCTCTATTGGCGGAACAATCATCCTCGCGGCGATAGTGTTCGGAATCTTGCTCCTCGCGAAGAAGAAGAGGGCGCGGAGGAGGGAGGATCCGGATTTTCAGGGGATATTCACACCCCCACCCGTGCGGGAACCGACGATTCCGGTGCTGCCGCCGTCTAGTGGTGCTGGCGGGCGTGGGAGCACTGCGTCCCCCGTGTCAGAGTTGTCTTTGAGAGGGGTTGTGACGTCGATGCCTAGGTATTCGAGCATGCATGTGCCGCCTGACGTAGCGGAGTTGCAGGAGGACGTGGCAAGGGAGGAGGAGGAGAATAGGACTTCCGAGTGCATGTTTTCCTCTATCCATTAAGCTGCAGTTTCTATGCTAACTTGACGACAGATTATCCAACGAATATACCGCACGAACTACACAACAGTGAGCAGCAGCAGGTATATAACGGACATCCAGTGCATGCGCAGCCCGGGCTACACGAAGCTTATGGAAACCCACCTCCGGGATCTCCACCTCCGGGATCTCCACCTCCGCAGCAGCAATATGGACCTCCACAGCAGCAGGAGTACATAGCATATCCAGGCGGGAATGGCGGTGTGTATCACAGAGGGTATTAAGTCGTGATGGGAGAGTCTTTTATTTTTTTCTCATGTAAATATATATTTTTATCACCTAGGTTTTTTTATTTAATCATGCGAGAGGGGGGAATGAGGGAGGCACATGCTCCCTTCCTGCATATTTCCTAACCCTTTGTTTAGTTAGCTTTTTGTTCAAGATCCTTCCTTTGTCTGTCTGTCTGCATGGTTGGCGTACCTCACGCCGCGTTACGAGCACATTCATGATACCATACATTTATGTTTACATAGTTTAGTTTAGTACTGCTCAATAGCACAGCATAGTCTAGCTTAGCGATCGCGGATACCAGCGTTTAGAAGTCCGGAAAAACGAGAAATCACACTCACCCACTACCATCCAATCTCACCTATGTGGTGCAATACCATATACTTGTATGATGCAACAAAAACCCCACGCCCCCTCCCCTCCACCAACCCCCATCAAAACCGGTATCACACTCCACCCAGCAATTGAGGTCGCTCCGCAACCATACAGAGGCCAAAGCACACCGAAATTACGGGTTGTCGAGCCACCTTTACTCAACCACCACAGGCAGAAGTAATTAGAAGGATAAAACGAAATTAAACTGATTTGATGCGATAGCACCCGCATAAAGAGTGTGGGATTTATATATATATATTTTCCTTCTATTCTCCCAGAGTAGTATCACGGTGGTGAGTAGTATGACAGAATATCTTTCCTCCTCCCGTAAGGTCTCATACCTGCCGAGACCAGGTTTTTTTTTCTTTTTCATTCTATGATATGGGAGAGGTAAGTTGCGTTGCGGCGGCCACACAGTTCATATGCTTAGCTCTGGAGAAAAACCTGAAATAAATATATATTATACCAGACAAGCTGAATCTTTTTAATTATTCTTTTCTTCTTTTCCCATAACTGCTTTCGGCCCAAGTGGTTAAGTAAATGGTGGCCCGGAGATCCGCAAATTTTTTTTTTTGACCCTCAGTATGGTTACCAAATGACGTCTATTGTCCTGACATCACCGAGTGACTGTTCATGCCGCTGGCTGACTGACCACCCCCCACCCCCCCTGCTGTACTGGTACAGTACTCGTATGATAACTGTACTAGTACACCAAACTCCTGCAAATTTTTTTTTTTAGAAAATCGGCAAATCGACAGGGTACATCTGCCAGTACTAGTATGGTACTACCAAAAACCCGAGGTTCACCAGCGCACGTGATCCGCGTTTCCACATGTACTGCACCGTAGACTAGTACGTGGGAAACTGCGATAGCGAGTGTGTGAGAGCGCGTGTCCGACTATCGCATGACCCGGAACGGTCCTGGGTCTAGGCTCCCGGGATGGTAGAGTACTCTACCGGGATAGAATGCAGGATGGGGGCCCGTCACCGATTTTTTTTGTGGGTTTGGTGATGGAGGGAGGGGGGAATGAGAAGGTGCATGGCCAAGTTGCTGTTGCGAAACTTGGTACCGTACTGTCCAAGTGCCATGGTCAAGATCAATATGGATGACGACGAACGTATAATATAATTCTACCCAGAAATTGCCTTTTTTTTTTGAAAGTGTAGAGGTATCATAACACCAAGCATGACATCAAGCTAAAAGAGAACACCCCTCCTAATCCCCACCCCCATGTTCCATCACGCACCGGATGATAGAAAATAACTACGCAGCGTCAGGTGAGATGGAAGACTAAGGGGGAAAAAAAACCAAAAATTTATTGCAGAGAAAGAGAGGCATCTGCACAATGGAGGGAATTGCGCAGGGAACAGACAAGGGAAAGCAGAGGAAGGCATAAAAAGTGAAGAAGTGAAAGGAAAGAAAAACCCTAGGACCATGGTTCACCGGCTGCAAAACGGGAATAGATAGGAAATAAACAAATCTCTAACTTAGATCATCTCGCATCTCACGCCTACCGCTGCACGCCGCCGGGAAAGGCTCTGCTGCATTTGGGGCCTATCTGCCCCTCCGGGAACTGTGTTTGTGGAGAGATCCCGGAGGCGCGGGGTTCCGCGCTCGCTAGTCAGGACTTGGTATATCCCTCGAAATGCTCGGTTGGTCCTTTGAGCAAATTGTCCTGCAATTATTTGTTAGCCTTAAGCTCTCCAAGGGGAGTTTTGTCGTGGCTTGCTTGCATCTTCGCGTTCAGGTCAGCCCCAGCTGATATGAGCTTTTTTGTAACTTCTAGATGGTTACGCTGGCAGGAAAAATGTAGTGGTGTGGAACCGTTATAACTGGCGGAGCTTGGATTAGCCCCTTTGCCAAGGAGAAGATCCACAACATCCGAATGGCCTCTCCAGGCTGCGTAATGTAGAGGCGTGTTTTTTTTGTGGTCCGTTACGTTTGGGTCTATATCCGTGGTCAGAATTTCTACCACTTTGCTACTGTCACTCGTTGCCGCGAGATGCAGAGGTGTCCGGTCAATGTTATCGAGTGGGGCGGCATTAGGGTCCTGGTGGAGAAGCATTTTCACCATATCAACCTGGCCTGTGGAAGCTGCTAGGTGCAGAGGCGTCATTCCCATTACTTCCCGGGCATATCTACTGGCTCTCTTGGCGAGAAGTTGATCAGCGACATCTTTTTTGCCCCCGACGACAGCATAGTGCAAGGGTGCCCAGCCGTACTTGTCGCGTGTGTCAACATCAGCACCCTTCGATAACAGGAACTTGGTAGCCGCAAGGTGTCCTCTTTCTGCTGCTAAGTGGAGCGGTGTTCTCATGTCTATGTTTTGAGCATCCGTTTCAGCCCCCTTCCCACACAACTTACTGATGACTTGTGTATGACCATTGGCGGCGGCGTAATGTAGAGGTGTGTAGTCCGACTTAGTTTTTGGGTCGACTTGTCCTCCGGCAGCTAGTATATCCGATACTAGGTCAAATTGATCGCCCGCTCTGTTTGCCGCGTAATGAAGGGGTGTCCAGCCGAGGATATCAGCGGCGTTAAGGTTGGCGTCTCCCTCTGAGATCGTTTCCCCTCCATCAGCCGTTACCAATTTGTGGGTAGGATTCCACCCGGCCCTTTCTTCTAACTTCTCCGAATTCACGGATTCACAGATGTTGCTAATTTCGGTTGCGCAATCACTGGGAAGTACGCCTATTCCGCCTCCGTCAACACCCCGACCCTGCTTCATATAGAGACAGATCAACGCCCCGAGCGTGTCCTTGTCACCGTCCTCGATCAATCGGTTCTTTATGTCGTCCAGGCATTTTCTGGCTTTCTCTCCTTCGTTTTCAAGATCCGCTCTATAGGTATGGAGAGCCACGGCGGTATTAAGGTTGCAAAGCTCTTCCATGAGCAGGGCGGTTACCATAATGGTTGTGCTATGGGTTTTCCCTGAGCTGTTGCAAATATTGAAGATCCTTATATAGGCTTCTTTGATTTTGGCAATGTTTCCCCGCTTCTCTTCCTGCTGGAGATTTTTGATCTTTTGATGTCTTTCAGTGATGATGTGCCGCACCCCGGGCAGTTTGCCGGCATCGGAAAAATGTGGGATTATAAGTGCATAAGCGTCCTGATTATTGCTGGTTACTCCGGACTCGGTTATGATCTCAGCGAGTTTTTGGAAGAAAGCATTTTCGAGCTTGAGGTTGGACTGCTCGCCAGGCTCGCTTTCATGAACACCGGGGGGGTTTGTAATTTTGGGCTCGGTTATGCTGGTGACGGACTGGATAGCGCCGGTGATTGCCCAAATGAATGAAGATAATATCTCCTGAGCACACATTCGCCCAAGAGGACTCTCATATAAGTAAACAAGTGATTGGGGGCCAATAGGCTCAGTCCCCACAATGCGATGGGAGGCAACAGATGCCTTGAAGTGCCTGGCAGCAGCACCGGGGTCCGTTTGTGCAATCGTCTTAGAGAGATATTTCCCCTCGAGAGTCGTCACCTTGCGCCGCTCTTTTGCATGCTTTAGGTCGGAAGTTTCCACCACCACAAATCTTCCTCCTCTATCCATCCACCGCTTGCAATCGCGAATGAGGAGGGGGTTCATGGGTCCGAGGGCTCGCAAAACCGTTGGACCCCTATTCCCATAACCCAATAATGGCTGACCCTCATCAGGAATGTCCTCCAAGGCCTCCTCATATCCCCTGATTCTATAGTGCCACAGGGAGATTATAGCGTAAAGCTCGGATGTAGAAACACCCCACGGGAGCGAGTCCTCACCATCGACCCCAGATATTCTGGCAGTTATAGTTATCCACTCTGCCCCAACCGCGACTGGAAGCGACCACCGAAAAACTGCGAGGCTTCTGAAGCTCTCATTGAGAGTGATATCCTGTGAGGCCACCAAATATAAAAGCAAGGATCGAAGGCATTTAGCGAGCTCTAGTGCAAAAGGATAAGAGGGCCCTTCCCAATTCTTAGGGCGCCCGAGTTCAGATCGCATTTTTATCAATCTCCAGGCGTCTGTCATGGGTTCATTATGTGTTGTATCAGCTTCATACCGGCGATAGCCCTGCAGAGTCAACACTTCCAAACCAAGATCGTCATCACCGTATCCATCCCTGTGCGCCCCGTGCGCCCCGGGATTCTGTCCACTTTTCTTGGACCTTGCAAGTTCCACTGCAAGACAATCAAACTCGTAGCCAGCTGAGAGGATCTTAGCGTGCGGCCGCAACGACATATTACGGCGAATCCAGGTCCTCACAGCAGTCATCATTAGTATTACAGCTAATTGCGCAATGGAAGCTGACCAGTGCAAAGCGCGAATTCCGACAAACTGGGTTACAAAACCAGCGAGGGAGATGAACGACCCTACAATGGTCAGATTCTGGAGGGAGAAAGACGAGTGTATGGGACTACGGCGAGAAGTGATAACCGCGTTGCGTTTCTTTTTCGCAAATAGTGCATATGACTCGAATACTTGATCGTTAACAGTAGCACTCCTTTGTACCCATAAAATCCAAAAGTGTTTTTGTGTAGTAGTCACATATTTGGTTTCTACGGAGGAAGTTTGTACTGCATGCGAACATGCCATCATCCCCATTACCAGCAATAGAGTCCCGGATGCCATAAGGGGGTAGGCATATTTCGAATTTTCGCCCTCCTTCAAATTAGTCTCGCCGTGGTAACGGGTGACCCCGATGAAGGCTAAGGAGCCAAACTGGAGCACGAGGCTTAGAATAGCAAAAAACCGCAATTCCGTCCCTCTCTCGATTTCGCAGACGTTTAGTGAGACGTTGGGGGCGCACTTGGGGGTGTTCCGTTTTTGAGGATTTTCACTCGACATGGGTTCCACGGGATTTTCGGTATCTGCCCTCGCTGAACCCCTGTTGGCTGAGGGGGTCTGAGAAAAGGTCCTTGATAAAAACTTCCTTATTGTATCTAGCATGCCCCCGTTGATTACCCTCGTGGGTGGTTTCTGCTCGGTTTGGGTTGATCCGTCTTCCCCTGTTTCATTGGCCTCTCTCAGCTTTCCCCTCTCGATAGCCGTGCCGAATGTGAATATTCCGCGTTTGCCCTCTCCGCCCTCCTCATCGTCAAAATATAGGATCTCAGCTACGTCCGGAGAACCCATAACCCGAACAATAGCTTGCCCATTCCAAAGTTCGCACACCTCGTGCGAAGTAGAGGACATGAGCTCCATCTCCGCGACCGCCCCACTTTCCCTTGCCCTTCCGACAACTGCCTTAAGCCAATTTGGCCCGGCGACCCGTACCGCGCTTGTTATCGCCGTTATGATGCCCAATGGCGCCATGGCGAATATTACGTCTTCGAGCCAGCTCGTGGACTGGGACAGGAACTGTTTAGCAACTTGCTCCCCGAAGAGAGCTAGTACAGGGCCCAGGTCGGAGAACAAATTGTTTGAGAAGTCGACACCATTTGCTGCTAGTGCCCCGGGTGGTAACGCCAGAAAAAGTACGGTTGACACGGGAAGAGTTGAGATAGTTGAACCCATAGCTCGTAGATATTGATCGGGGCTCGCTAAACTTGCTCGGTGGGTGCAGTGACTGGTGCGCTCTCCTGGAGTTAACTTGTAGCTCAGTTTGAAGGGACAGCAGAGGGGAAATCACCGATTTAGATTTCAATTCAGTTTCCGAAGGAATAGCAAATTTGGTGGGAAACGCTGATGAGGATTGGAAGGTCCGGAAATGAGTAGGAAGCCAGAAACTGCCCAGGTTACTAGGATTGTTACCTGAGTTTTCGGAGGCTCGGGGTTGGTGTTCGCGAGAGGGGGGGTTAGTGATAAAAATCAACTATGGACCGAGCTCGAATTTATGATCTTCCCTTAGAAGGCCGT